TTTGGGAAACCCTGTTATTTACTATGTATACCCGTTATGGTAACTTAATTTAAGTTCCTTAACAGCAACCCAGGCACCTTACTTGCGACGCCGTTGTTGAACTCGACACGGATCTTCGGATGACTGAGCACACGCCTGCTCTTGCTGCAATGCTTCTCCGGGGCCGACCAGGTCGGAGGGTTTGTGGAAAAAGGCATGTTTGTATGTTCCCTTTGGAAGGTTTTTTCTTTCGTGTTGGTCGTGCCAGGCAAATCAATACAACCCCCAATAGCCTAAGCCTTAGATCTCCTCCTGAACCCGAAATCCCTAAACTTTCAACTTTAAGTCTACTTGAGCCAGGGGCCTTACAACCGATGATCACATACTGAAACTTGCTATGAACCATAATGGCACGTTGTAATATAGTATAGTATGCCCTAAATACATATCCCTTTCACTTTCGATGTTCTTGCCCACTTGATTCTCCGTTACTCTTCTAAATTCATATATCCCCCTCCATAACCTCAACCCTAAATCCGTGGAGCGAATATCCCCCTGTATAACCTAAACCCTAAAAACCCTAAATCCTAAACCCTAAATCCTGTATAACCTAAACCCTAAAATCCTGTGGAGCCAGGGGCAACCCTGGCCGGCATGGACTTCACAGACCTTCTGGCGGGAGCCGCGGAAGCCGGGCGCGTCAAGGATCACGCGGCGGATTCATCGGTTTTCGGGTTTCAAGGCTAGGGCTTAGGGATTTTAGGGTTTAGGGTCTAGGGTTTACAGCCCACAGTGATTATAACCATGGCGAAATATCATAGTCCGTTTTCTCCTGTTGTGCAGCTCAATGTCAAATCATGTGCGTTCTGAGTATCTGCGCCAGCCAAATAGCACAAGCATCTCCACATACCCAAGCGCCGTAGCTGGGGTAGAGGGTACAATAAAGCTTATATCAAGTGGTGCCAGAATTCCGCCATCGACTGTGGAGACCTCACCTCAACTTAACCCCTCCCATTTGCTCTTAGTGACACCTGGCCGTGAAGAGTTGGCAAAGGATCCAATGAGCGCTAGCTTGCACCACCCTGAACCCTAAACCCTCCATCCTAAAGCGCTTAACTGCTTAACGCTCTAGCCTCCAACCGCGGCAGCCTCAAACCCTAAGCCCCTAATTTCCCTAGCCACTAAACGCTCACCAGCAAACCTCAAGCCCTGCAGCTGGGCAGAGGGCAAAGGACGTGCCTTTCAGCCCCAAGCTTTAAAGTCCCCTTTAAGTAGATAGAATAAGGGGGGGGGGTTTATATAGGGATAATGGGAAAACAAGATGGAAACTACTATTTAGGGTATAGGGTTTAGGGTTATAGTCCCCATTAAGTGGATAGAATATGGCTTTGGGTATATTATAACAAGATCCCCATATATCCCATATTCTATCTACTTAAGTGGGACTATAGACTTTCACCGCGATATATATCGCAGGAGTGGCTTCGACGCTTTGAGGGCTGCCCGCCCGACCAGGTGGGACTTGCAAAGCGGAAGCCTTGTCCCTGAACTCTAAAACCTTATAGTCCCCCTTAAGTAGATAGAATATGGGATATGTGGTGTTCTCAGTATAATATACCCAAAGCCATATTCTATCTACTTAAGGAGGACTATACATTCTGAGCCCTGAGCTCCAAACCTCCAAGTCTAGAACCTTTGACGGAACACTCTAAGCCTAATTGGGGTACACCCTTAACCTAATGAGGTCAATGCCCAAGCCTTCCACACACATCTGGCGGACACTGACTCCAATAAGTTTCAGGCAGAAGTGTTTCAAGTGATGCACCTTGTTTGGAAGGTTTAGGGGCCCTTGTAGACCCCTTGTTGATAGTGTATTATAGTATACTGTGGTATATTATGATATATTATGTTATATTATGGTATATTATAGGGTAATGTAGACCTCTTATTTATAAACCGCTAATTAGGAGTAACGTGGCTTGGCTGAAGAATGCACCCTATGACCGGGTTCATCAGGGGTTGTAGGGTGCAATGAGAGAGTATTGCGGGAGTTTGATAGATTTGGGGTCGAATGTCAGCAGTGTTGCCAGCGTTGTGTCTTTGATGCCTGTGAGGGCTGCGTCAACACCACTTGGAGTTACAGAGATTAAGTTTAGTCCCCCTGACGTAGATAGAATATGGGGTACATGGGGATCTTATTACAATATACCCAAAGCCATATTCTATCTACTCAAGGGGGACTATAAGGTTTCAGTGGTTTAGGTCCTTTCATTGGGTTTGCGGGTTTTGCAGATCTCAGGATGTACGGCTGCAAGTCTTTGCCTACAGGCGTTCTGGATTTTCATGTACCATGGTCTAAACTCCTTAAAGGGGTCACATAAGGGGTTATATAGGGGACTACTATAGGGGTTATTAAGGGGGATACTACGAGTTTAGTCTACAGCTCTCATGGTTCTGGTAGAGGTCCGCCTGCCAGCTACAAGAGCTGAAGCTATTACTCGTAGGCCCGAACCCTAAACCTTAAACCCTTAACCCCTTAAACTTATAGGATCCTATACCAACCCAACCTTAGCACTTAGCACCCTCCACCTTGAAGTCAGGGTTAGTTAAGGGTTATGTAGGGCTTATCTTGGTTGGAAGCGTGGGGGCTACTGTTAAGGTCGGTACCCCAGTAGTACCCCTTTCCCCTTTTTATATTGGGGTCTCCTTACCAAAGCTGAACAGTAGGAAAAAAGGATACCCTCGTTATTATGGGGTTCCTGGGGAACCTAGAGGGTAGGTTGGTAAAGGGTCCTATGCTAGGGGCTCTTCAAACCTGAAACCAAATCCTCTAAGCCCCTGATCCCCAAGCCCTAAAAGACCCTATACCCTAAATCCCTAAACCCTAAACCCTCAAGCCCATGTAAACTTGCCATTACTTAGGGTCCCCAATTAGCTTTAAGATTTTAAGATCAACATGGCCGCCAGAATCCTAAGTAATGGCAACAAACCCTAAACCCAGACAAGGTATCACACGCCCCAGGGGCAAGCGAATCACCTTATTGGCCTGCGCGACGTCACAGACCCTCGGCTTTTCTTTGGGAGACTTTTCCTCCTAAACCCTAATAAAGGGACTCTGCTGTGAATTGTGAACCCCAGAGAGGGAACCCCAAGAATGTAGTAGCAATGTTTTAGGAATACAGCTACCAGGGTCTTTATATTCCAGTATATTCCTGCTATATTCTTGGGATTCCGTGTCTGGGGTTCTCATTAGAACCCTTTTACC